CATCCCTGGGTTATCAACACTGTTGTCAGCACAAATCCAAAACACAGCCCCACGCCAGCTGCTATGAAGAAAATTAACTCTATCCCAGCCCAAACCAGCATAACATGGAATGGATGGAGGGCTCGTGTCTTGTGCTGGTCCCCGAAACCCCTGAGGGATTAATGGTGCCCCGGTAATGCCAAGACACATCTGTAGAAATGCAGTCAGCAGAAAGGCCCCAACCGTGCCGTGTCCCCTCAGATGGCCATGGCTGGGGTCACAGCTGTCAGAGACAAGCCTACAGCCTCCATGAGCATAACACCGAAGTATAAAGGCACCCAAAGGGCGGTGGTCCTTGCTGTGCTCTCCGTGGCTGCACAGACAGCCCAGGGTCCTCACGGGCAGCGGGGTGCCACCAGCCCAAGCTGCAAGGTCTCTGCGAGATCTTCCCAGTACAGCTCCAAGCGCAAGGGTGACCTGATCCTGGCTTGTTTCCAGAGAGGTTGTGAACTGAGGCCACAGCTCCGTGGTGGTTTACCCTGACCACTCTGCTCTTTTCCCTGCAGTCCTCTGGAAATGTCTGGGTCACCCATGAGGAGATGGAGAACATGGCGACTTCCACCAAGACGGTGAGGCTGGCCGGCCCCACTGCCACTGCATGCCGTATCGGTTACCGAGCTGAGCGCCGGGCATGCATTAACACGCTGAACCCCAGGAGGGAAGGGGATCTTTGCTGCGTCTCATGTGTCAGCTCTTGGCCAGCACCATGCACCTGTTTAGAAACCATCTTTCAACCTTTAATATCCCAACAATTTCTAAAACTGGCTTAAAAACCATCAGATACATTTTCCTTTGTCAAACCCCTCTGGGTTTTGCTGGGTTTCTCAAGTAGTTTGTCTGTCAGTTGTGAGTTAGAGGAAAGAAATGAAAGGCGAAAACCACGAGTGATCTTAAGATAGATGCACGAGGTCGAGTCCCACGTTGGTCATTCTGCACCCAGAGAAGTCACTGTCTAATCTCCCATTGACCTTAGCACACCCAAATATTGTCCCCACTGTCTGTCGCTGCCACTGGCTGATAGCTTGTTGTCCCTTGAAGGGATGTGGCTGTGCTCCTAAAAGCTCTGGCTCCTCCAGAAAGATGTAGCCATGCTCCCCTCTCTGCAACTTAATGACCCCATGTCCACATCTCAGAGCAGGGACAACATTTTGGATTCGTTGTGTGAATTAGGCATTTTATTGAAGCTTTTGTCTGCTGGTTGAGTAGCACAGACCTGTAACTGGGGGGTGCCTTTCGGGGAAGGAGAGCTCAGAATTACGGCAGGGGGGGGGCTCTTTTC